AAAAAAAAAAAAAAAAAAAAAAAAAAAAAAAAAAAAAACTGCTCAGTGCCAAAATAGAATCACAATGCCAGCAGCTAAGGGGGAGGGTGGAGAGGTTCAATTTGGCAGAGACAGACTTTTAAAAATTCCCAACCTGCAGATGGTCATGGGGGTGGGGACAGAGATGGAGCGGCTGTCCCTCCCCCATGGCACCCCGCCTGATAGCTGCAGGTCACCGGGCTATCCAGCAGGTGTCTTGCAGTTTGTACCTGAGAGGGGAAGCCTTACAGGTTCTCTCCTCAAAACACATCCTACCCAGACACTCGTCTATTCCCTGAGTCTCTGCAGGGGACTAGGAAGAGGAGGAGGCCTCCCAAAAGCACAGTGCCTCTCCGTGGGCAAATGTAGACAGGTGCACTTCAATTCCAAGCCAGGGCAGGGCAGGGGTCAGCCTGTTCCCACCACAGCAGAGACCAGACTCTGAGGCTGTGTCTCATGCAGTCACTGCCCTGCCACCTTCGTACTTCCTGTCCCTCTTAGCCTATTTGCTCCTGACCCCAACCCCCTCCTACCCTCTGGAAAGAGCATCCATGGTTAGAAGTTTTCCTCTCTTAGAACACCTTCTGATTGCCTTTTCAAAATTAAAATTAATAAAATTCAGGGTTGGCAGTTAAAAGCACAGGCTGCTCTTTCAGAGGACCCGGGTTCCAGTCCCAGCTCCCACTTGGGGCCTCACAGCTCTCTGTAACTCCAGTCCTGGAGGATCTGGTGCCCTCTACTGACCTCTGCAGGTGCAAGGCATGCCTGTGGTCACAGATATACATTCAGGCAAAACACCTATACACATAAAAATAAAAACAAGTAAAAAATATTTAATATGAAAAAATTACATAAAATCCTGGCTTTAAACTAGCCACTGCCCCATGGTAGGGTCCTGCCTCCTGGCTGTGTTTCTATAGTCCTAACACACCGTTTCAGGTGACACAGCCTAACGTGTCTATCCACAAGCCCCATTCTTGGGTATTTATGACACATTGGGCATTTTTGCAGTGCTGTAAACTTCAAAGGTGGTATATCAGAACTGTAAGTACCTTTATTTCCTTCTTGAAAACATGCAGATACAGTGTGCCTGGCCCATTTTTTTCCAGGAAGCCTCCCCTGAGCTCCTCAGCAAGGGTGTGGGTCCCTCTCTACATCCACAGTTTACCTCATGATGGGCCTTCACAACCCTGAATGGTAACTGCCCTGCCTGTCCGAAGATAACTCTCACTAAGCAATGGGAGAAGACAAGACTGGTCACTGTTGTGTTCCCAGCACCTGGCACAGTGCCTCCTGTGTAGGATACTCAATACATAGGAGGTGATTAAGGGTGAAATGTGAATAAGCACAGCCCAAGGTCAGGGTCTGGCCTGTGGCTTCAGCTTCAGCAGCCCCAGGAAGACCAAGAAAAACAGCCAGAAGATACTGATGCCCAGGGACCTTCTCGTTGTCACTCTAGGGAAACTGAGTCAGGAGTCCAGTAGAATGGATAGACCAAGAGAAGAATACAGGGTTCCTGGTGTCCATGACCTATGGCCTAGGATAGAACAAGTCTGACCCTGTGGCCTTGGTGACCCCCCAATATCCTCCCTCATGTCTTATTTCTATTCTCTATGACCTCCAGGAGAACTGTGTGATGAGGTGATTGACTACTGTGTACCTGAGATGAACCTCTGTCAACATGAGGCCAAGTGTATCTCCCTGGACAAAGGATTCCGGTAAGGCCTGGCCTCATGTTCTGGCATGGAGTCCTGAGGACTCTGTCTCCAACAGCCTGTGTTTGAGGCTCCTAGTCAGGTAGTGCCTGTCTCCCCCTGCACAACCTGTCACCCCGTCTTCCTTTCCTCTACTCATGTGTGTCTCTGTCTCTGGCCCAGGCCCAGTTATGGTTCCACAAGTTGCCTTTGCATTTCACAGTTTCATCTTTTCTGTATTCTTCTGATGATAGAAAAGATAAAGAGATGGATATGTCCCCTCTTCCTCTATGCTCCCCTTGCCCTCTCATTCTCTTCTCCCACCTTCTCCTCTCTTTCTTAGCATAGCTCTCCTTTTCAGAGCTGAAAAGGTGGGACCATCCACAGAAGGAACCATCAGAGATGGCCCTAGCATCTGAATGGCGTCTGGTCACCTTCCCAGGACCTTCACGGTCCTGCTTTCCCATGACCACAGGACGTCTGTTAGACTGTGCGCCACAGGAGGGCCGTGATAAGACCTGGAGTTCTGAGAGTTCAGAAGCTGCAGCCACGGATGGAGCTGACTCCTTCATCTCCAGCAGCAAAGCCAGTTAGCATCAGGGGACCACATGAGCAACGTTGAGAGTTAGGAAGAGGCTGAAAAGACCACCCAGTTCTTGAGCCTGAGCGTATCTTCCCATAGGTTGCCTTTTTTCTTTCTGTGTATGTGTATGTGTATGTGGGAGTGGACGCCCTTACCAACACAATGTGTGTGTAGGCCCCAGGTTGGTGCAGAATGCTGACAGAGGGGTTCTTACTAAGCCTGAAGTTTGCGACGCCATGGCTGGCTTTTATGTGGGTTCTGGAGGATCTAAACTTGGGTCCTCAGGCTTGCACAGCAAGCATTTTACCCACTCAGCCTTCCCCCAGATCTGTACTGTCCTTCTCTGTGGTGACATGCTGGGCCCATTGCTCATCTCCAGGGGAACTGTAAAAGGTGTGAGGCCCCTGGCTTTGCCAAGATAAAGGAAGCCACAGCTGCTCTGGGTGCCTCCCTGTTCACATCTGCCTGTCACAGCTCTCAGAGGAAGGAGGGAGTTTTAGGAGGTAATATCACCCCCCAGACTCCCACCACCCCGGGATCCCACATCAACAGAAAGCTTCTGTTTATTAAATACCAGCTTGTATGCTGCAAGTAGACAAAACTGTATGAAATACAACCTGGAGAGAAGAAACACCCAAAATGCTTGGACCTGAAATGGAAGCCTCGACTGTCAGGCAAAGGGCTTTGGTGTGGCAGGAAGGAACAGTCAGTGGTGACCAGCCCTCAGCTGTAGAGAATGAAAAAATGAGTATCATTCAACGTCAAGTGAACAGGGAGCAAACTTAGAGGGCACTGACTTTGGAAGTACACAGTGGGCCATGGGAAGTGATCAGGCGTGGGTGTGGACACAGAGAGTTAGAGCTGCCAGGTTTTCCACGGTCCTCTGGCTTTTTTTCTGAGAACCTCCCCCTCTACTATAAGCAAGGACCCTTGAGTCTGAGACAGTGTAGGAAAGAAAGGCGCCAGCCAAGCTTCCCTTAAGTCATCTTATTTACATGTCATGTCCTATCTCCTAGGAGACAGTGTCTCAGAAAGTCTCGAAGCCAACACAGTAATAGTATAATCAAATGCATTTAAAACAATAATCTGTTCTCCCAATGAGGCATTTTATTATTGTGTCCTTCCCGCCCCATCGTCAAACACCTGATATCCCACAGCACCCTAGAGGGACATTAATGAGAGAGGGTGATGCAGTCGGGGTGACCTTTGCTTATCCCCGGAGACACTCTAATGAGGTCCCAATGTCAGGCAGAACTGCTCGGAGGCCCAGAACGTAACAGCAGAGATCTCATTGACTTGTGTACACTGAAAGCTCCATGTAGTACCTCGTCTCCTAAACACTTCAAGCTTCCAGTGGAGAAACTGGGGCCCTCCCAGCTCACACCCAGTGACCACACCCAGCTGCCAGGGAAATAAGGAAGAGAAGGGGCTGCAAGTCAGTTCTAGGCCTGGCAGATTTCTTAGCTAAATGCAGATACCCCAGGCGTCCTTGGTCCATGGTTCCTAGATCCAACACAAACCTTACACATATCGATATGGAAGCTAGTGCAAAATGTTTGAAAGGAAAAAAAAAAGAAGATTGAAGTGGTGCTGACTTGTAATATAAGAAGTAATCTAAGAAGTATGGTGTAGACCTGTTCGGAGGAAGGTCCTTAAACCAGCATCTCACCGAAATGTGTTAGGAAAGTAGTGCCAGAACCTGCCCAGGCTTCCCTGTCAGAGCTGCATTTTGTTTGTGTGTTTGTTTGTGTGTTTGGTTTTGTCTGTCTGTCTGTCTGTCTGTTTGTTTGTTTGTTTGTTTGTTTGTTTGAGACCAGTTTCTCTGTGTAGCCCTGGCTGTCCTAGAACTCACTCTGTAGACCAGGCTGGCCTAGAACTCAGAGATCAGCAGCCTGCTGGTATGAAAGTCGTTTGCCACCACTGCCTGGCTGCATTTTTTTTTTTAAAGAGCAAAATCCGTAAGTGTTTGCTCATTAATGTCTGAAAAGACCATGCCAATTGAAGTCTGTGGATACTTCTGCCTGCACACCTCCACCACTGGGTTTGAAAGTGAGAGTAGCTTCCCTCCTCATCAGATGCCTTGAACTTCATGCTTTCAAGGATTGATTTTATCCTAAATGCTGGGAAGCTGTTTGTACCTTGGAGAAGTTCAGTTAGTTTCCGCCGTCCTCCAGGGCTCTTTTGGATACAGGTAATGCAAACTAAGATGCCTGCCAAGTCTGGGGTTTGGTTTGGTTATTACTTTTTTAAGCTAGTTTACAAAATAACGGGCTTCATTTCGACATACTTGTGCACGTATGTCACTGTGCCCCGTTCATGTTGGCCTTCCCATCCACAGACCCAGTTTTACCAGCAGCTGAAGTGTTGAAATGAAGCATATTCCCCATGCCTCAAATTTCTAGTTTGTTTCTTTAGGAAGCCAGCTGAAGTTATAGTGGCAGACACTTCTTAAATTTTTCAAATATGTATTTTTATTTTATGTGTGCAAATACACATCTGTATGGACATACATTCATTCATACATACATATATACATACATGCCTGTTGTGATCTGCCATATGGATGCCAAGAACCAAACTTGGATCCTCCGCAAAAGCGTCAAGTGCCCTTAACCATTGAGCCATCGCTCTAAATCTGCCCCCTCACCCCAATTTTATTTTTGTTTATGTATATGTGCATATGCATGTGTGTGCAGTTCCCACAGAGGCCGTAAGAGGGTGTCAGGTCCCACAGGAACTACAGTTATAGGCAGTTGTAAGCTGCCTGACGTGGGTGCTGGCAGATGAACTTGGGGCCTCTGTAAGAACAACTGTACGTTTAACTGTTGAACCGTCTCCCCAGCCTTGTGGCAGACACTTTAACATGAGGACTTAGAGACCCAGATAGAGAAGACAAGAGTTTGAGGCCGTCCTCAGCAGCATGGGAAACTTGAGGCTTACCTGGCCTTGTCATAAGACCTTATCTTTAAAAACGAACAATGGTCGCTGGCGGTACAGGCCTTTAATCCCAGCACTCATGAGGCAGAGGCAGGCAGATCTCTGAGTTCAAAACCAGCCTGGTCTATAGAGTGAGTTCTAGGGCAGCCAAGCCTACACAGAGAAACCCTGTCTCATAAACAAATAAACAAAGTCAGAAAACACACACACACACACACTTTGGCAAACCATGTCCCTAAAATATGCTCTGGTGGGGTGGTAGGCTGCACATCTTAGATTTGCAGACAGGTACATAAAGGTGAACCGGTAGGAGCCTAGTGTTTTTTGCCACACCAGAACACACATGGGCCCACCCAGTCAGACTTAAGATAGAACTGTCTCTATCAGGTCACCATGCCCCTTCAGAATCTTTGTTGTTTTGTTTTGTTTTTTTCTTTTTGTTTTTTTTTTTTGTTGTTGTTGTTGTTTTTAAGATTCATTTATTTATTTATGAGTGCTCTATCTGCATGTACACCTGCATGCCAGAAGAGGGCATCAGATCACATAATAGATGGTTTTGAGCCACCATGTGGGTTGCTGGGAATTGAACTCAGGACCTCTGTAAGAGCAGAAAGTGGTTTTTAACCACTGAGATATCTTTCCAGCTCCCCTCCTCCCTACCAGTCCCTTCCGAATGTTTGCAAGGGAAGGAAGATGAGTGTCTCTTTACCTTTTTTTTTTTTTTTTTTTTTTTTTTTTTGTCAGTCAGGTCCTGAGGGTGCAAGCTAGGAATCCAGAACGCTTGCTTGCCCTGAACTCCCTGCCACTGTCCCCTCTAGCTTTGACTTGCACAGATGGCATTTTGACTTTTCCTTGCCCGGCAGTATTAAGCTGATGGGCCAGAGAATCACACAGGCTTCACAGGAGGGAGTGGGGCCTGCGGACACTGGGTCCGTATGTGTTTATGGAGGTGCCTTGGCCCCGGGCGCTCTCGTGTCTGTTTCTATGCAGGGATCTCTGTCTTGTGTTACCTCAAACAAATGAGCCACAGACACATGTTCTGGCTAGATACTGGCTTGGTTTGGGTGCTAGAAAGTATGGTAGGGCTTTGGGCCTACTGCTCTCTAGGTAAGGGCTGGACCAGCTGGACTGGAGCCTAAGCAAGGGCAGTTGCTTCCATCCTGTTTTCTGGAAGACATGAGCTTTTAATTCTTCCTTAGTTCAAATGTCTGAACAGGCAATAAAACAAAGGCAATGATTGTACAGATACCGTCATTTCCATCATCCGTTGTCAGCATCTCTATATTGCACTCTCTGACTTTATATCCAGACGAGTAGAGTTTATTGAGGACCAGTGGCTTTGAGAGAACATACAAAATAGAGAGGCCGTGAGTGGCCAGTACACTAGAATAGCAGCAGATGCAGTAAGTGTAGCTGTCATTCGATGTGGCTTTGGGGAGGTGGCTTGAATGCTGCTTGGGATAGGGCCCTCTCCTGCAGGCCCCTGGGGCTCTGATGAGAGGCTCCATGGAGGTGCTCAGGCAAGTGTCTGACACCAAAGATACCCAGAATGTCAACTCTAAGTAGAAGAAACCAGATCTGACCCAAAAGCTGTGTGATTCGTCCTGTGCTCCCAGCCTGGTTCTGACAGACCTTGACTCTGGGAGCAAAGACCATGGGCCACGAGTGGAGGCCAGTAGCAGAGGCAGGCCTGGTGAACCCTTAGGGAACTAGAGTAGGTGGGATGAGAGTTTTGGCAAGGGCAGGCACAAGAGCACCTGAAGCAAGCGGGCAGGCCCTGAGCAAGCGTCTCTCTGCGTTCCAGGTGTGAGTGTGTGCCTGGCTACAGTGGAAAGCTGTGTGAGACAGATGACGATGACTGTGCAGCTCACAAGTGCCGCCACGGAGCTCAGTGCGTGGACGAAGTCAATGGCTACACATGCATCTGCCCCCAGGGCTTCAGGTATGGCAGAGGAGCACAGCAAAAGCAAGGTAGCCCAGACTAGATGGCAGGAGGGGGCAGGGATGCAGGCCTCCCTACACCTAACCAGGGCAACTCCATGTGGACATTGGATATGAGTCCAAGGTCACATTGTCACATGCATGTGAACCCCAGTTCTCCATTTGAACAGTCTTGCTTGAATAATCAGATGCTGGCCTTATGGCTGGCTCTTTTCACTTAGCACAGAACTCTCAAGGCCCATCTGTGTTGTTGCAGGTGTCAGAACTCCTTCCTTTGTAGGGAAGAATTTCCCTGCTGGTCGGCTATGCCGTGCTATGTTTATCCATTCAGCCTGTATTCCACAGACTCACCCCAGTCTATTCTGATGACTCTGAAATTTTCGTTCTAATCTGATTTAGTTATTTCTCTAGTTTTTACATTTATTTATTTATTGTATGTAAACACGCACACACTCATTGCATGGCATACTCATTGAAAGCAGAGGACAATTTGTAGGAGTCAGTCAGTTCTCTCTTCTCCCATGGGTGCCAGGAATTTGAATTCAGGTCATCAGGCTTAGCAACAGACCCCTTTACCCACTGAGCTGGGCTATCGTTGCCTTCATTGACTCACTTTAAAAGAGAGAGAGAGAAAGAGGCTGAAACTTAAAGAAAAGAACTTGCTCCAGTTAGAGGCAAAATTGGAGCCTCCCACTCCAACTCTCCTCTTTATAACTATGGATGTCTCCTCTCTCCAACACTCTGTTTCCAGTGGGCTCTTCTGTGAGCACCCTCCACCCATGGTTCTGCTGCAAACCAGCCCCTGCGACCAGTACGAGTGCCAGAACGGGGCACAGTGCATTGTGGTGCAGCAGGAGCCCACTTGCCGCTGCCCCCCAGGCTTTGCCGGGCCCAGGTGTGAGAAGCTCATTACTGTGAACTTCGTGGGCAAGGACTCCTACGTGGAACTGGCCTCAGCCAAGGTCCGGCCCCAGGCCAACATCTCACTGCACGTATGTTCTCTCTTCCCTCCCAACTACAAGCTGGGGTTTCCCAGGCTGCTAGCAAGGCTGCCTCTTCTCCCAGAATATCAAAGACAGTGCTCAGGTTGGCAGGAGCTGGGCCCGCTCAGTTCAGAGCAGAAAACCCCTGCTGAGTCTCACAGCAGGCACCAGCTTCTCACTATCCCCTCGTTCATCCCTTAAAAATCACTTCTGCAACTGTCATATGCTGGACAATGGGGACCTGGTGGTATGTAAGACAGAGCAGCCAGGATGACAGGAAAAGAGACACGACAAGAGATGCTGGATGCTGACTGGAGCACAGAGGAGGATGTGTTCCCAGCCTATCAGGAGGAATCAGAGGTGGCTGTCAGAGGCAGGAAGAGCTAAGTGATATCCGAAGCTAATGCAGGACTTGGCCAGAATTCTAGGGAGGAGAATAAGAGACTGAGGTGGTTGAACAAAGACAGGGAGGAGGCAGCTGAGTGATCTGCAGTTCTCAACCTCTTTGGGGGTCTAACAAGCCTTCCACAGGGTCAGCTATCAGATATTTGCATCACAGTTCATCACCGTGGCAAAATCACAGTTATAAAGCAGCAGCAAAATAATTTTATGGGGGGGGGAGGGGTCACCACAACATGAGGAGAACTGTATTAAAGGGTTGCAGCATTAGGAAGGTTGAGAACCACAGGCCCAGAGGCACGAGCAAGCAGGACACACTCAGGGAATGGAAAAGAGTTCATTGTGAACCAAGGTGTTTTCTCGGCAGCATAGGCCCATCCCTGCAGCTGGACAGTGCTGCTGTCCAGGTAGTAGCCCAGGAGCTGCTGGTTGCTGCTGGGCACACGCTGGGGGCTCCGTGACTTTAGCCAAGTGATTAAACCTGGAGCTCCTATACTCCGTCAGCAAAGGGGTCTTGAGAGCCTCTGCCTGCCAGGCTCTGCTTCCAGCCACGGCGGCACGTAGAATCCTAAGCAGGGCTTTAAACTCGTGTTACCCCGGCAAAGACGCGTGCTGACTTGCTCCGACATCGTTAAGACTCTCCCAGATGACTCTGAAAAGATTGCTCGCTTCCTAGGATTACAGTGAGTTAAGTTGTAGTCTTTAGCCTTTGTTGTTCAACTATTATTATATGATTCATGCAGGGAGACGGGGGCTTCAAACGGGGCAGGTACTTTGTCCGATCCCGTCACGTACTAGTAGGGGAGGCAGATCAGAGCCGGGGCCTCCTGACATGAGTAGATAAAACTAGCCCAATCTCCACGCCCGTGCACTCAACCAACCACAGATCAAAAGCAGTTTAAAGAAAATTGCCACTATATTGAACACGTGTGGACACACTTAGCCCCTACCAGGTAAGTCTAACCCACAGCCCTAGGGCCATCGTCGAGGGTAGCTATGAATATAATCCAGACAAAAATCAGAAACTTCCTTAAAACATTATGGGATATTTTCATTTGTTTCCTTGTGTACCAGCACGCCTTTAATTTGTGAATTTTTTTTTATAAGCTGACTGCACAGTTCTCCATCATGAATTTGTAGACGACAAGGTTACATCACAATCTCAAGTCTGACCATGATAGTAACGACTACATATGCATTGGAGCTCTCACCACAGCATTTTCCCCGTGTCAGGTGGTGTCATTCATCCGGAGAGGATGGAAGTCACCCGGGAGGAGCGCACGGCTTCAATGCAGACACTCTTATGTAATGGACTTGAGCACCCTTGAGGGGTCAGTGACCCTGAAGGGTGAAGCCATGGCACATAGTACGTGCTCAATGCACATTTGATGAAGCCGTTTGCTTGACTTGCGTTTCCTGAAGTCTAAGCTTGAGTCTTGCCTTCTGGAATAGGCAAGCCAGATGGGGAAGGAGATACAGATTTGAATTCTAATCTGGTCGAGGCTCTGAGGCAGCCACCTGAAGCGGGTGCTAGGAGTGAGTCAGGAGCTGTTGGAGCTTGGGTAAAGTCCTAACCCACACATCCTGGCTGCTCTCCCCAGGTGGCCACTGACAAGGACAACGGCATCCTTCTTTACAAGGGGGACAACGACCCCTTGGCGCTGGAGCTGTACCAGGGCCACGTGAGACTCGTGTATGACAGCCTGAGCTCCCCACCAACCACGGTGTACAGGTAAAGACCTTCCCTCTCAGCCACAGATCCCAGGTGACTCTGAGGCCTCCTGGCCCACACAGACACGTTTCTCACGAAGTGAAAGGTGGGAGGGGGGAAAGGTACTACTGGCGCAGAAGCAGAAAAAGGAAGGCAGGCCCATGTGGGGAGATGACACCTCATTACCATAAGATAAATGACCAGCTGGCTACAGCACATGGAGCCAGGTGCTCCAATGGAGACGAGGCTGCCTAATGAGGTGCCCTTTTCAAAATGTCATTCTAATCTTTTATTAGTTTAAGAAAGAAAGCAGGCCGACTGGAATGCAATTCAAGGAGAGGAAATTCAAGAGCACCCAGGGAACAGGACTATGCTTAAATGACTTTCAAACTATTCTTAAAGATAGTGTTCCCTAAACTTAAGTCTTTTTAACAGTCACTCTAGAGGATGGGCAGCTTGCTGTAGCTGTAACAAAATATCGACTTATAAAGAGGGAAGGTTTCTCTTCGCTCACAGTTTTAGAGATTTCGGTCCACGGTCCTTTGGTTTCACCCCTTGACTTTCTAATCATGCTGGGAAGCTGCTCACCACATGGCAGCTGAAAAGCAGAGAGAAGAGTGGGCTTAGACTTCATCCCTTTGGGCTGTTCCCCTCATTGAGCAGAGAACTTGCCACATAAAAGTTGGAAGGGCTTGCAGAAGCAGCAGGGTTCTATGCAAAGTGAGGGGCCTTCTGGAAACACTGTGCTGAGTTAGGGACCAGGAAACCACTGCTGCTGCATAAAGCTGCCTCCAGGGGGTTGTGTGAGTTTAATGAGTCCACTGGGGAGATGGCATGCCTTTGGAAAGAACCAAATGATGGGCATCCAGGCTGATGACTTGGATTCTCGTGCCAATCCTGGTGGCAGACCATTACTGCCTTCAGCTCCTAACCATAAGGGGGCCCACACTCCAGAAATCCCACATGAAAAGTGATTTCATGGGGCAGTTCATGTATGTTTCTATGCACATCATCCGCATAATCTAAGTGCAATTTTAGAGGATACACAACATTCTTAATAATGCATGTTTTGATTGCAACTCATCACATGAGCTCATGTGTGGAATTTTCCACTTGTGACATCATGCTAGCACTCAGTTTCGTTTTGTTTTGTTTTTTTTCAAATTTTGGACTTTTTTGCAGTTTTGATTTTCAGGTCTAGGGATGCTCAGTCTGAAGTGTTATCTCTCTCTCACCAACTGACTTGGCAAACACCTATCGGGTACCTGGGCCTAGTGTAGGGAACACAAAATTAAACATCCCACACACAGAAGAAGACTCGAGTGTAGACAGACAGTGGTGACACCGGCAGAATTTAACAGGCCTCCCTGGAGGCTCCCCAGCCTGCTGTGGGGACACTTCCGAACAAGGAGTAAATATTCCTGCCTGGAAGATTGGAGAAGGGCTTTAGGGGTAGGAGGGTCTACCTTATCACTAAGGAGCATTTTCATAGGGCAGGAAGGGAGATACCACGCTGTACCTCACAACTGGGAGCTGACATCAGCTGAGGGGACAGAAGGCCATTCCTCGGGGTCACTGCAGTGACTTCTTGCCATCTGGGAGGCTTGATCAGCCTTGAATGAAAGCCAAGCAGCCAAACAAAAACTGGCCCATAGGGGCAGTTGGTAGCCCACAGGTTTCTGTCCCCTGAGAGCCCCATGAACCAGCCTCAAGAAAGGATGAGCTGCATGGACTCCTGTAGGCTTCACCCTTCTGGAGCAGCTGGATACCAGGGCCTCCCTTCTGCCATCCCCGATTCTACTCAGGTCCCTGGTAGTTGTAAGAAGTGAAGAGGCTTGCCAAGACTCTGCCGTAGGCCACAGGGCAGACACAGAAAGCTCAACTGGCTCTTTCCTGCCCCAACATAGGCCATGCCTTCAGTATGGAGACTTACCATAAGGCTCCTCTGCCTACAGGGCCAGGGCCTGTGGGAAGAGGCAACTGACAGGAACTCCCTTGGGTGCTGTTGATTGTCAAGAGAAACTGGAAATTCAGGGTTTAGGGGGTCTATGTAGAGGGTCCTGTAAGGTTCACCATTCAAAACTTCACATATGAGTCAGCTCTACCTGGCTGAGCGCATACCCTGGCAGTTTGAATTACCACCTGTCCATCCACTGCCCATTTGATCCTCAGCCCATGAACCAGTGGATATTATCATTCCTGTTTGAGGGATGACAAGCCTGATTGCTCAGAGGAAGCCCAGGATGGGAAGAGTTTGTCCTAGACACAGGTCGGGTTTCCATTAAACCCACCCTCCCACTGTGTGTCTCCAGAATGTGTTACTAGGGTGCAGGAGTCAGTCTGGGTCCTGGCTGCTCGCCTAAAGCAATCCCAGGAACTCTTTGTTCCTGCAGAGCTCTGTCGCCACCTATTGGTCACTCTTGGCATCAGGGAGAAATGAGCGCCCGATAATCTTTCTTGTACAGTGGCCTAGAGCCCATACCTGGGAGACATGAGCTGAAGAACCCTGACTCCACTATTTCCACTTGAGACTCTTCATGAGGCACCCTAATTCCCTGGTCAGTAAGTCTCCCCTTTCCAAACGAGGAAAGCTGCGTCTCCTGCCTGAGGACTTATTAGGGTTAAATGAAGATTTTGAGCTCCTGCACTTACCCCACAGCCCACCCACTTCCGCTGTTAAAAGCAAGAGAAAGTCAAGAACACCTGCTGCTCTTGCAGAGGACACAGCTTCAGTTCCCAACACCCATATCATGCAACCCACTACCACCTGGAACTGCAGTTCTGGGAGACCAATGTCCAGCCTGGCAACATACTGGCTCTGTATGGGCCCCAGTGGGCAATGAGGGAGATTCTCAGGACCCTCATCTCCCCTGAAATCCCTAATGCCATCTCCAGGAACCTAATCACTAGGGCTTCCCAATGCAGCGCAGTCATTTCTCTTAGAGCAAACAGAAAGGTTCGGTTCTAACTCTCACCACCTCTGTTGTTGTTGTTGCTGTTCTTGTTTCTTGTTTAGCAGCATAGTGCTTCTCTCCACTGATATTTTTATTTGGAAGACTAATGTTTACAACTTTAAAAAAAAAAACAACTTTGTGTGTGTGTGTGTGTGTGTGTGTGTGAGAGAGAGAGAGAGACTGGGAGTGCAGGCATATGCACGCCAGCCAGGGCACGCCTGCGGAGGTCAGAGGGTGACCCCATGTGTTAGTCTTCCCATCCACTCTTGTTTACTGTGTGTGCCAAGCTGGCTGATCTGTGAACTTCTGGGCACTTTCATGTCTCCACTTCCCATCTCCCCGTGACTCTGGGATTCCACACACACCCCGATGGCTGTGCCGGCCTTTATGAGGGTTCTAGGATCCAACCTCTGGTATTTGCTGTTACACAGCAAGCTTACTTGCCCACCGAGCCATCTCTCAGGCTCCTACAACTTTTTTTTAAGGGTGGGTAGAGCAGGCGGACAAGGCTGTCCATGGAGCCAGGGAAGCCCAACACTGCCTGGGGTGAAGACTTACCTGCAGCTCCTGAAAGCACTGTCTCTAGTCTTGTATCCTTCAACCATGCACCTCGGCCAGCTCTACAGAGCTCAGGAAAGAACAAGGAAATGGACTTAGCAACCAGGAAGGAACTAACAGCGTCGCTTGATGTGCCTGAGTATATCTAGGACAGGAAAATGACTGCCCTGACTCCCTTGACACCCTTAGTTGGTTCTGGAAGGAAAGGAAGAAAGGCCATTCACCACTACACGGGCTTCACAGCTCTCTCTGATGGGGAGGCCTCCCAATGCAGGAGTCTACTTGCTAGCCTTTGGGTCGTTAATATCTTCAGCCTCCAGTCCATGGGGCATTGGAAGAGGAAGTGAAGTCACTGGGTGGGTGTGCCCCTAAAGGGAACATCGAGACCTCGGGACCCAGCCTCTTCCTTTTTGCTTCCCAGCCACCAAGAAGTAAACAGGTCCCTGCCAACACTGGCCTAAAACAGCTATGGACTGCAACCTTTGAAGCTGAGTTCCCAAACAGCTCCTTCCTCCTCTCGGTGATGGAGGTGGTCAGGGACACAGCTTTGCACTTGGTTGGAAAACTGAGTGAGGGCCCAGCCCCTCTCTCTAACCTTCATCAACTCATCTGCAAGAAGACAGCCTCTGCCTTCCCCTCTTCACTCATGACTTGAAGAAGGTAGAGATGCTTCCGACACTTTCACACAGCTCTTCCATCCCTGAACTAGATCCCCCAGTGGTCTCTCAGCTTCTGCCCCACCATCATTTTTCCTGCTTCTTGGCTAGACTTTATGCTCAAGAGTTGGCCACTTGATTTAGAGGACAGGTATGGAGAGTGGAGAGTGGGCTTCATGATTCCTCACTGGTCCCCTGGCATCTAAGACAGTGAGGCCCAGAGCAGCTCAGTGAAAGCATAGGTAGATGGATAGATAGACAGGACATGTGGATGGAAAGGAAAGAGAGAGAGTGTGCAGGAGTGGGAAGAAGGAGGGAGGGAAAGAAGAAGGGATATGTGGACCAATGGCTATGAAAGATTTCTTGGGGAACTTGGGTAGACCCCAGGCTCCTGCGTGTTCCTCTCCAGCATTTTGCTTTCTCCCGGGATCAGAGGTACAGTAGGGCTCACCAGGATGCAGGCTGTGCTGGGTTCTTATTGCTAACGTCCTCTATATGTGTACGCATGTACACGTGGAGGCCAGAGGACAGCCTCAGATATCATTCCTCGGGTGCTGTCCACCTTCTTTGGAGACACGGTCTCCCACTGACCTGGAACCGACTGTTGCTAGGCTTGCTAGTATGCTTCGGGTGGTGGCTTCTTCTGTGGGTTCTGGGGACCCAACTCAGTGTTTTCAAGACTAGCCCTTCACTCGCCCAGCTCTCTCCTTATCCCCTCATAAATATCACCAGTAACTGTTCACATCCTCCCAAATAATTTGATCACCCAATAATTGTGACAGGCTACTCGCCCCTTTGCGGAGGAGGACACTGAGACAGGGGTATTCTGTGACTGGCTGTTGTCCTGCCCAGCAGTGAGGGGATGGGGAATGGCCACTCTCTCCTTTCCACCCAGGCAGTCTCCCTCCCCTCTTCTGAAATGCCACAGTCAAGTTGAAACTGTCCCTGCTACCTGTAAAATCAGTGGGGATCCCGAAGAGACTCCTACACCTGAGTCAATGAGACAGATCTAGACTCCCCACAGAGTCCTTTCCTTCAATCCCCCAAACTCCTGTCACCTCCCACTGTTCCCTCCCAACCCTTGCCAAGAACAGAGTCCTGGAAGGAACAGAACTTTGGAATCAAAAGTTGGCCCATAAGCCCTATCTGTGGCATGTATTAGCTGATGACCCCAGACAGATCACTTAACCTCTCTCTGCCTTGGCGCCTTTATCTGTGAAGTAGGTTATCTGGTGCCCACTTCACAGGGAGTCCCTGCTCTGCCACAGATTAGCTGGAGGAGGGGAGCAAACAGTTCTGATTCCCTAGGCTGCCAACTCTATAGTTCTAGAGTGAGGCTAAGATTTACTTGGCATAACACAAAACACTCTTCCCTCAGATGAGGCAGGCTCAGAACTGGTGGTTACGCAATGGATTTAGGTGGCTCGAAGACCAATTATTGAAATCCTAACTGAGAGAGTTTGTATCATACATGCTAGAAAAAAAAGAAGAAATCACATCATACTAAACCTGTTTCTCCCAGATGTTTCTTAGAGTAAAGCTAACTGTTCAGTGAGGTTGATGGACAAAATGGAACACTTGAAGGGACAGCATCATCAAAGAGCAATTGTCCAGGTGGTGTGTGGATAGAGCCAACCTGAGGTCTAGGGGTAGCTTGCCTTCTCTGTGAACAAAAACCAAGGCAAGAATGGAAAGGCAACTGCAGTGCCCCTAGGCTGGCTCTGCGGTGGGAGCAGAAACCACCGCCCATCTGGACCTATAAAGAGCTGCCGTGTACATTAACTGTCCCCTGCCCAGTCAGGATACTGGGATTATGTAAGAAGTCAGCCCTGTCCTTGGGAGGACTGAGTGATCCAGAGGTCAAGGGTCATGACATGCATGTTGTACCCTTATATCAACATCACTCAGAAAAAGTGTAGGGGGGGGGGTCAAATGGAAGTAATTGAAGAGCCTGGGGGGGTGGAGGAAAAAGTCTGTTTTTCTCTTTGCAACTTCTGTAATCTGAAGTTGTTTCTGAATGAAAGTGAAACAGAGCACACACAGTACAAAGGCCAACTGCAGCCCCCATGCCTGGCCATGGACACACTTGACCTGTGGCTCTTTTCCTTTCTCTCCTGTCCAGTGTGGAGACGGTGAATGATGGTCAGTTTCACAGTGTGGAGCTGGTGATGCTGAACCAGACCCTGAACCTGGTGGTAGACAAAGGAGCCCCCAAGAGCCTGGGGAAGCTCCAGAAGCAGCCAGCAGTGGGCATCAACAGCCCTCTCTATCTTGGAGGTAACACTCCCCCTCACACCACGTCACCCCACCCCTTTCACCTTTCTGGCTTTCTGCCTCCACACTGACACCCAGACCTGATCCCCTGATGTCTTTCTGGTAACTACAGCCAAAGTCATTTAGGGAAGACTTTCTGGAGGAAGTGACAATAATGGGTTGCTGAAAGAGCGGCCAGGCATGAGCCCGGTCCTGGGGAACAGACTCTGGACGGATGCTCATAAAGGAAAATTGGTGGGCCTCTGTGGAAATAGCAGGTGTGCAGGGGCACGAGGAGAGGAAAAGGGGAAATGGAAGGGTGTCCAGGCTCTGCTGCAGTTTGCAAGCTCTGTGGCAGTACCCTGCCACCTTTTGGTCATGGCAAGAAGCACCACACTGAGGTCAAGGTTGTACAAAGGCCAAAATGGCAAACCACCATAAGCTGCCTAGACCTGCAATGAAGCTCCTAGGCTGGTGGGGTTTGAATTATATGGGAAAAAAGAAAAACTAAAAATTGGAGGGTGGCTTCTGTCCCCAGAGACATACACGTTCACACACAGCCACCAAAGCAGTTGGTTCAATGCAGATTCTTAAGACTTCAGCCCTGCTCTCGCCTGCGAAGGGCTGGCATGACCAGGGACTTGCACTTTGGACAGGCCGTTCAGGTGCAGGGGAGGGACACAGAGTGCTCCTCCAGACGCAGCTTCTCCACAGGAAAGAATGGTGCCCCCCTCCTGGCACCTGCTCCCCCTGTGGGCAGAACAAAGGCACTTTTTCCAGCCAACATGGGGTCTGGGAAGGAACTGGAAGAAAGAAAGTAAAGGGTTTTGGGTTTTTTTGTTTTTGGTTTTTTTTGTTGTTGTTGTTGTTTTGTTTTGTTTTAATAGACAGGGTCTCATGTAGCCCAGGCTGGCTTCAAACTTCATTCATAGCCAGGACTAACCTTGAACTTCTGATGCTCCTGCCTCCACCTACATAGTACAGGGAGCACAGGCATGTCTGCTTTATGCAGTGCTGGGGTTTGAACCCAGGGCTGTGTGTATGCTAGGCACGCACAACAATTAAGCCATATGCCCAACAGTAAAAGAAGAGAGAAAACATGGATCAGACATCACTGAGAACAAGGTCAGGCCTTTACCCGTAGTCTGCTAATGGCCCTGAGAAAGGCATCGGTGTATCACAGAAGGGAGCAAAATCGTCTGGACACCTTGAACCCTATAGCTACACTGACACAAGCTATCCCCCACCAACATCATATCTTCTCTCCCCAACTTCAGCTCCTTTGCCATGGGCTTTCAAACAGGAAGGAGCACCTCAACCTGGTGGGAAAAGCAGGATGGCCTAAGAGGTGGGCCTCAGTTAAGCCAGGGGGACTGTGTGGCAGTAGATGACAGCTCCTCTCGTTTCTCCTTTGAAAGTTCAAAATGCAGACTTCGGTAAAATTATTCCTGAATTTAGATACTGCTGATAAATTGAGTTTCAACAGCCCCAGAGCAAGGACACAGTCCCCATGAGGATAAGGTCCAGGCTTTGAACTGTCAGTTCAGTGTGAGCAGCAGAAGCCCAGGGCTCTGCATGGTAACTGTGAGCATGAGTGTGTGCTGCGTGTGTTCTCACGTGGAAGGCTCGGGGGTGGGGGTAGGATGAGGGAGTGTCTTCAGGCTGCCCTGGCTTCCTCCCACAGGGATCCCCACCTCCACTGGCCTCTCAGCCTTACGCCAGGGCGCAGACAGGCCGCTGGGCGGCTTCCACGGCTGTATCCACGAAGTGCGCATCAACAACGAGTTGCAGGATTTCAAGGCCCTCCCGCCTCAGTCCCTGGGGGTCTCTCCCGGCTGCAAGTCCTGCACTGTGTGTCGGCACGGCCTGTGTCGCTCCGTGGAGAAGGACAGCGTGGTGTGCGAGTGCCACCCAGGATGGACCGGCCCACTGTGTGATCAGGAAGCTCGGGACCCCTGCCTTGGTCACAGGTGAGTGTCCTGAGAACAAGTTGCCCTGCCAGCATCTACGAAATGGGCACTGATGGATGCTGGGGGGAACTGTGGTCCTACTGTGGGTAGCCTGACTGCTTTAAAAAAGCCAAGAAGCAAGGCTCCGGCACTCAAGCAGGAGGCCTGGGTTGAAAGCATTAGCATGAAGAGAGCTCTCTCAAGATACCTGTCTCCACCAGGCAGCCTGTGAAAGCCATTGCCAGACTCTGTGCTTCCTGAGTGATCAGGAAATACTCTTAAGGGAGCTAGAGTCCCAGAGACAGCACGGCAAACAGAAGAAGAGGAATTTCAGTTTCTGTGAACCCTACAACGTACTGGGTCCGAATAACAACGCATATGTGAATCACATTTAATGGTTCAGTCATCCATTATTCAATCAGTGCATGTTTATTGAGGGCCTACTATGGGGGGGGGGGGAGGTTGTACTAAATACAAGAGACTCGCTATTTCTACAAATTGCAGTCGGCCAAAAATAATAGCAGACTCAAGACCGGTCATTTAGCTGAACAAGACAGGGAAATAATAGTCTTGATCAGAAAGGAAGGGGGGCTGCAGAAGCCTAGGCTTCCTGTTATTCTTCATGTATGTGCCTGGCCCCTGGGATGAGCATGAATCTTGACCCCCAGCAGGCCCAGAGATGTATCATGATTAAAAACGCAGCCTCTGTGGCCTAGAGAGGTGGCTTAGCAGGTAAAGACTTTTGACCCCAAGCCTGATGACCTGAGTTCAATCCCCAGGACCCACACAATAGAAGGCAATAACCAACCACCACAAGTTGATTCCTGACCTCCACAACCATGCTGTGGCATGTGCACACACATACACGGAGAGAGAGAGAGAGAGAGAGAGAGAGAGAGAGAGAGAGAGAGAGAGA